TTTGAAACGAAGTGGTTATTCCAATGCCACCAAAGAACAAGCCACCACTCCGAATACCTATGACTGTTCCTATCACACAGCCGTTTACTACACCTAGCACGCACCCTGATCCTGTCTCCCTACCTACACCAACCATTGTGCCCACAGAGACAGGTTTCTAAGATTGAATTATTTAGTTCTTGTCAATGTGTGTGTGTGTGTGTTTTTTTGACATCATATTCTTCTGTCACTTGCAGTGCCACCACTCGAGCGTAACAAAACATGAAAGATAGCATACTGATGATTATAGCATACTATATATAGGCTGTTTTTAACGTACATTATGGTAAATATTCATCTCTTAACGAGTTCATGAAGAAATCAATGGCCACTTCCTTTAAGGAGTTTTGATATGAGCTACACGCATACTAAAAGGAGTATCTAGAACAACCAATGGCTCATAGGAAAGCAAATAAGGCTAAAGAAGTCTGCACTAGATTATTGGGAGTTTCACATATATTTATGTTCATTTGTGTACTTATTTAGTTTGTTGACCATATTCATTTCTATTTAATTGTACATTACAGAAAAAATCCAAGGTAGCAAAGAGTTTACCCATTATTTTGGTTCTAGATCTTTTATTCAATGTCTGGCAATAGGGGTAAGTAAGAAGCAAAATAGATGCATTTTGGGAGACTGGATAGAATTCAGCTATAAAAGAATACACATTACAAGGATATCAAAGGCTGGATCCATCTTGTGGCTGAGGAGAAATATGTAATGAACAAATGTCTTCAACATTATTTTTACTTAATGGAACAAATATTTTACTCCCTTATTTGCATTAATACTTTTCTAGCGTCGCACAGAAGGAGATGATAAATGTACAAACCACTGAAGAGGCATATGTTGACGGAGAAGAGAGGAGATTCAAGGAGGAGATTATGCCAGGTGCTACTGCTAAAATAAGCAGCCTTAGAGTGCCTACTACTTATCCGTCTTCTATCTTCATCACCTGATTATGAGTCAACTGATTATTAGTTTAGAGTCATCTTCACGGTTGATTCTCTATTATAGCTCATGCCTATGCTACTATTTTGGACTATATGTTTATGTAGTTACTCATATTTTTGAAGTCGAATTGACTTGTCTTTGATATAATATATTATTTGTCTTACATATATTTTGCTATTGCTTTGTGATTTCAAATAGTTCTTGATTTTAGATTTTTGTTGGTACATTGTGTTGGAGTTGTGCTTTTAATCTATTTTGAAATTTAAACTGTTGCACATATTCAAAAAAATAATTGCATAAAATCACATTTACCGGTTGAAACAATTGTCAGCAATTCCTTAAATGTTCTCACATTTACCCGTTGAAACAATTGTCAGCACTTCCTTAAATGTTCTTAGTTGGCAAAGGTTTTGCTAGTCTTGACCAATAAGAAATTGGTAAACAAAAATATGTATATCTACTGGCTAAAATTCCAATTTTACCTACTCAAACATTTGGTCGGCAAAGGTTCTACTATTCCTGACCAACATAAAATCGGTAAGCAAAAATATGGATTTTGCCGACTAACATTTTAATTTTACCAACTCAAATATTTGGTCGGCAAAGGTTAAATCATTCCCGAGCAACATGGAATTGGTAAGCAAAACTCTTATATTTGCCGACTAACATGCATTTTGGTCGGTAAAAACTTGTGCTGGCTGCCCTTTGGCGACCAGCTTCTGACCAGTATTTTCTAGTGGGGAATTAGTTTTACCGGCTGATAATGGACCTTTAGCGACTAAACTTTTGGTCGGCAAAACTCACTTTTCTTGTAGTGCAATTATGAAATATTTAAGATCACACCACGAAAATAAAATTAAAGTAAAGTAGAAAAAGAGAAACTAAGCAGAAGAACGATGAATTTTATTAAACCGACAATATGGAGAGAATAATACAGGACAACAATAATATTTTATCTAAAACAGACAAAGAAGTCTAATTTATAGGCCACGTCCATAAACTGGAGTCTTAAAAGATAAGAAAATATACTAGAATTAGGTTAAACCGCGTAAAAGGAAAAATCTTGGATGTAATTTGATTTCTTTCCAAATTCAAGCCAAACGTAATCTTCTAAGATTTCAACCCAATTTTGAGGCATTAAGCCTAACAATCTCCACCTTGACTCAAAATTTCGATGCAACGAACGAAACTTCAAAATTTCAAATCTGTCTACTTCGAAATGAACTGACCAATCTCCTCAACACAATAACTAAAATCTCCATCACCCAACCATCGTCCTCTACACGGCGTCCACAAGCGACATCCGAACCCAAATTCTGGGTTCCCAAAATTTCATCAAGGAATTACTGTTGACCAAACAGGAACGAAGCACACCATGTAACAAAAATAATATCACATGTTGGATCAGGAGGCCACTTGCTAGAACTATCACCTTCAACGTCCCCTAAAGCATTCCAGACATTATTGGCACCACCGTAGCTACGCTCCATGAGTCCAACCCTAGCAACTAAACACAGTGTATCCACTAAAATTGGTGGCGAAGCGCAATCACCAACTCTCTCCCTAGCAGCGTTTTTAACCAACTCAGAGCTCACCACAAGAGGTATTGTACCAAACTGAACTTCCACCACGGTACTGAACTTGTCCAAATGCCTCTTAATTGGTTATGTGTTCCCTGCAATACGTACAACTGAGATTTCTTCCGTCCCTCCAGTACAACCCAAACACCTTTTCGAACCTTCAAGACTCCACCTCCACAAGAGAATTTATACCTTTTTACATACAGGATACTCAGCGATATGAAATTCTTTGTCAAGTTTGGAACAAAACGAACCTGATCAAGTGTCCTCACTGTCCTCTCTTGTAGCCTCAATCTGATCCAATCGATTTCTGCAACCCGATAAAATCAGTTATTTCCCATAACAACTTCACCTTGCTTTATCGTTTCATATGTCTGAAATAAAGCCCTATTAGGACACATGATACGAACATGTAGAATCCAAAATCCATTCCCCAGGTTTGGATTCCCTATCAGATACAGCCAACATTACATCTCCATCATCCGAAAAATTCTCAACAATGTTAATCTCGTTACCTGATTGTCTCGCATGATTTGCATGTAAATCACCTTTACCCTGCAACTTCTCGCAATCTTTCTTAATGTGTCCTTTCTTCTTGTAGTAATAACAATACACATTGTTATACCTCACCTTTGATCTACCCCTCCGTCGATCACTTTGAGTAACCAGAGCATCCCCACTCTTAGATGTAGGATCTCCAACCAACAGCTCAATCTTCTCCTTTGAATACAGGGTGTCATACACCTCCTCAATGGTCAGCACGTCACGACTATACAATATAGTATCATGAAACAACGAAAAAGAACTGGACAGCGAACACAACAGGATGAAGGCCAAATCCTCTTCATCATATTTTACCTCCAACATCTCCAAATCTGCAATAATCTCCTTGAACATAGCAAGATGGTCCTGTAGTGACCCTCCTTCCACCATGCGATGGAAATACAACTTCTGCTTTAGAATCAGTTTGCTCGTCAGACTCTTTGTTATGCACAACTGCTCCAGCTTGAGCCACAAAGTAGCCGTCGTCTTCTCCTTCAAGGCATCCTACAGAATATTGTTGGATAAGTGAAGATGAATCTGCGTTAGAGCCTTTCGATACCTCTGTTGTTTCTCCTCCATAGACAAATTTGCTGGCATCCTCTCAAAACCCAACAAAGCATCACCAAGATCCATCTGCGTCAACACAGCCCTTCCCTTTACTTGCCACGGCGAAAATTTTGTATTGCGATCCAGCAGCGAAATTTCATATTTCAACAAATTCATCCTTAAAAAATCTCAACCAAATCACAAAGAACCTGCAACCCGCGCTCTAATACCACTTGTTGATCCCAAAGGCGATGCAAGATTGAGATTAGTGACAATTATAAAATATTTAATATCGTACCACGAAAACAAAATTAAAGTAAAGTAAAAATAATAATAATAAGCAGAGGAACGATGAAATTTATTAAACCGGCAATATGGAAAGAATAATACAGGACGGCAATAATGCTTCATCTAAAACTGACAAAGGAATCTCTAATTTATAGGTCACGTCCATAAACCTAATGGAGTCCTAAAAGGTAAAAAAATATACTAAAATTATGTTAAACGGCTTAAAAGGAAAAAATCTTAGATCTAATTTGATTTCTTTTCAAATGCAAGCCAAACGTAATTTTCCAAGATTTCAACCCAATTTCGAGGCATTAAACCTAAATAATATATGCCAAAATAATCCAAGAATTTGTTCGCGTGCATTCATAAGTTTATTTACCCATCTTAATGAATGAGTTGGGGTTTTAAACATTCGAGTGTTCATTATTGGAAATGTTAGGTGGTTTAGGTCTTATAGAATTTATTTCGGTCAAGTGGGTGTCTTAATGATTTTTACGAAAATGTCACGCATAGCTGTCTAGTAAGATTTCTAATTTAGAGTGTTTTCCAACTCAAACGTTTTAATTTGGCCTATATGTGCTTAAAAACTTTATAAAATTATGGTTCTAAGATATGTTAATTGATAGGTTAAGTCCTTCCCCAAATATTTCATGAATTATATGATGGTTTAGTAAGTCAATTAATTTTCAAGTTTAAGACATGTAAATAGAATTTTCCAATACTGAATTAATTCCTAGTGTTCTTTCATATCTCACACACTTAAATTATGACATGTATTGGCCTATTTTCCTAATGAAAGCATGTTTATGCATTTAATAAGTCCATGATAGTGGTGCTCCGATCTCTAGGACTCAGGACGTCACAATTGATGGCACCCACGTCATAAATCTGAAAAAAATACTGTGAAGAGTACCAAAAGACCTTGCCTATCGAAACAAGGTCAAAGAATTGGCGAGTCATCCAAGGGGTGGTATGAAGTATGTTTGTTGTCTTTAACCAATCAAACGCAAACGAAAAAAAATATTGTAAGGAAGTACCGAAACATCTCACCTATCCAAACGACAAATGCGCCCATTGGCTATCCTATCAAGTGTTCTTTTTATAGCTGATTTCCAATTGAAAGCGAATGCCCCACCCTGGAGAAAATTTTGAGAGACATCTTAAAACAGGGTAGATGACATACAAGATGGAAAGTTCAAGCAGATGAAAGCTTACCCAACCAAAACTCCTAGACAAGTCATTTCCGGTACCGAGTGGGATAATTCCTGTAGGGGGAACTGGCAATCGGCCATGTTTGTCAAGCTCTCCTAGGCATCCAAGGACCCAGCCCACAGTACCATCACCTCCTGCAACCTGTCAAGGACTAGATAACTTAAAGATTTACATCTAAAATTATTGCGATAATAGAAGACAAGAAGCACAGGGATTATGAGCACTTTATTGTACTAGCAATATATGGTGCATCTATCAAAAGGTACAACTTTAGGAATTTAAAGGAATGAAGGATTTAGGTTAGCGTGGATGCCTACCACAATCCTCAGTTTTTCACGAATCTCTTTAGCACAGCTGTCCCCAAGAGCAGCAAACTTCTCCAGGCAACCCAATCCATACTGAACAAATTCATGAGGCTTCACTACTAGGAGATCAAAAATCTGAAAAATTAAAAAGGAAAGAAAAAGGGAACAAATTCACTTGTGAGTTCCTAATGTTATTCTAAACCACAGATTTCTTGAACTGACAATAAACAGGGGAATTAATACCAAACAGAAAAGAGGAAAACTTTATATGACACTTTAGCTCTTTATGCAGTGAGACCTTGATAATAGAACGATATCAGAGTAACATCCGGTCAGTGTTTATGGATGGAGGCTTTAGGTCAGGACCCAAAATCTAACATCATTTTTTTTTTTTTTT